TCCCTACACACTATAAAGAGTAAGATATTTGTCAGGGGGATTTGTATACCCTTGCTTTTCAGACCAGAAACAGTGTCTGGCTCATAGTTGGTACTAAATGTATGTTTGTTAAATGAGTGAAGAAAAAGAATGAATGCATGTATGAATAATTAAGGGAATGAGTTATCACCTATAGAGAATAAAGTTGATGATTATATATATTTTGATTTGGGCACACGTAGACAAAAGGAGTTTTAGACTACCGTTTGTGGTACCCGCAATAAGGTTGTGCATGTGACCACAGACATTTTGTTGATTCAAGGAGGAAGCCAAGTAGAGTGAGAAAAAGAGACAGAGACAGAGCAGAGTATCAGAGGAAGAGGAGAGGCAGGAGGGGATGGCTGTTAGCTTTCTCATTTTCATGAGGATCTTGCCAGTTTTGTACAACTGGCCTCCATGAGGAAAAAGTCACTTTTTAATTTTTTTAATCACAGAATCACTTATGTGCCCAATGTAAATTACAGTAGCTCTTATTAGGCTTTCATATCCTTTTAGATATGTCTCTTTAGGACAAGAATTCTCAGTCTTGGATGTGCATAACCTACAACTATGGGTCTTTTTTTTTTTTTTTTTTGTGGTACTCGGGCCTCTCACTGCTGTGGCCTCTCCCGTTGCGGAGCACAGGCTCCGGACGTGCAGGCTCAGCGGCCATGGCTCACGGGCCCAGCCGCTCTGCAGCATGTGGGATCTTCCCGGACCGGGGCACGAACCCGTGTCCCCCCCTGCATCGGCAGGCGGACTCTCAACCACTGCGCCACCAGGGAAGCCCGGGTGTTTTTATTTATTGGCTTTGTTTTCTTCTTCCACAGAAGGGCACAGCCCCATGGGATCGTTCTCATGTGGAGCTATGTTAAGAACTGCTGCTTTACTTTGTTCAATGAACTCTACTGAGATGCCTTTCCAACCCACTTAAGGGTATCCACAGGTTTCTTCTAAGCACATACATAAGATTTTGCCCCTCTCTATAAAAATTTTTTAATACTGTAAAGAACTTTCAAACAACTAGTTGTGTACCTCAAGCTCATCCAGAGCTGTTTAACTTTTTTATTTTTTTTTGCGGTATGCAGGCCTCTAACTGTTGCGGCCTCTCCCGTTGTGGAGCACAGGCTCCGGATGCGCAGGCCCAGCGGCCATGGCTCACGGGCCCAGCCACTCCGCAGAGCTGTTTAACTTTTAAGGCACTAATCACGGTTTTAAAATATAAATGCATGATTATCCTTTAATATTTTTCTGGATTTTTAAATGACTTACAAATTGTCATTGGGATCTTCAACTTCTTAGCTTTTCCCTGGCAATGCAAATTTGACCAAGATGCTGAAATCTTAAAGGATATTAAGTCAAATACCTGCAGAGGTGCTTCAGGATGCTTTTCTCTCAGCACTGGAGCAGCTGGAATTTCCTGGGGGGCTTTTGATGTCTTCCTTTTGGCTTTTTCCATTTGAACATTGGTAAAGTAGTTGACAGCAGCAAACTCAATAAGGGCCGAAAACACAAAAGCAAAGCAGACAGCTATGAACCAATCCATGGCAGTCGCATAGGACACTTTGGGCAAAGAATGCCGTGCACTGATGCTCAGTGTGGTCATGGTGAGGACTGTGGTTATTCCTTCAAAGCAAAAGAGCAAAGAGACAAAATACTTTATGGTTACTTCAATGCATAAAAACAAACAAAAAGACCTGGAAATTTGGTGGGGTGAGGGTAACAAAGTTTACAATAACTCAAACCAAACCAGCTTTGATGTAAGATTCCAGTCATAGTGGTTCAGTGAAATTAGCACAGGCTTTGGAGTGAGAGACAGAGATGGTTCAAATCCTGGCTCTTCTAATCACTGGCTCAGTGTGAGTTGGATTAAGTTAGGAAAACTCACTGGTTTCATTTGATACCCACTTATTGGGTTTACAATGAAGATTAAAAGTATGTAAGGCACCTATTGGGTTGATGTTAGTACCTGGACCAATGTACCTGAGAAACTCAACACACACCTAACAGGAAGTGTGACTCATTGAAGCACTGACTCTCAACCAGGAGTGGGAAGATGGTAGCAATGAAAACTGAAGCATCAGAATTCCTGGGGTAGGCATGGCCCACTGCTGTTGAGAATCTCTATCAGAAAAAGCACAAGTTATATGTATTTATAGTCTTTACCTGAATATTACTTATTGAATTAAAATAATAAATTTACTAGTTGTAAAATAGCTTAATTTATATAAAACAACCTAGGTATACTCCTGAGAAACAGACTTCTAGAATAATTTGGCTTTAAAAATATTGGACATCTACTGCCCATCAGTTTGTGGTTGGCAGGAAAGTACTGGCAACAAGAATAGAGGTACTTCTCACGCATCAATAGGCTTCTGAAGCATATCATCTCCAGAAAAGCCTTCTCCTCAGCCTGGGACAAAAGTCAGTCTCCATTCTCAATGGAAGAATTTCACTTGCCACTGAAACTGTAGAGAAATGCATTATGTAAGGATGCTAATATTTTCACAATTGTCCCTTTCTGAACCTTTGTCTCTCTGTGTATCTAATCCATGTTATATAGTTAAGCTTGGAAATTTACATGGAGATTTACCATATCCATTTAAACTCATTCTATGTAATGCCTAGGAAATCTCTTGAATTGACACACCCAGGTGATTGGGGATGGTGATGATGACAACAATAACAATGATGAAGGCATAAACTATATCCAGTCCATGCCAATCCATAGCTGAAAGCCAAATAACACATGTTAAACTGAAAAAATAGTGAGTCCCATGCAATAATAAAAGAATAATATTTTGATGTAGGGAGAAATAATCCTGTCTTCTCAGCTCAGCACTTAATTATGTTCTGCCTTGTATTGTTCCCTAATTGTTCCATTTGAGTGAGCTTTGTTTCCACTATTTGATTGAGCATAGACTTCTTAAGGGCAGAATGTCTAACACTGCTTCGGGATTTACCTTATTTCACGTAGTGCCGAGCACATGATAAATGCACTGTAAATAAAAATAGATTTTTCAGCTCTTCACCAATCCATTTTCTTTCTAGTCCCTTCTGAATTGTCAGTGTTTAGAACGTGAAAAATTAGAGCAACTGTGTAACTTCTGAGCTATGGATCTTTCAAAAACATTCCATAAACTATACAGTGGAAGAAAGTTGAGAATTTGGTTGTATTCCCTTTTAAAATTTTTTCATGCTATTTTTAGCATTTCATTAGTCAAAAACAGATTTTAAAATGTGTTTTTTCAGTCAAATATATAAATACCTAAATGCCTATGAAAATGCAATCTTGTGAATTTAGTAGACTTTGTTTCGAAAAGAGACCTCAGGACTTTTAGGTCTCTATTTTAAATCTCAGGAAAATGGCACCATTCCCTTGCTCATTGTGAGATATGTGAATAAACACTAAATTAATTCTGAAAAAGTTTAGCTACAAAATTTAAAGATATATCAAAGTTTTTCTTCTTATTCATAACAACTTAAGTTTAATGGCCTATTAAGAATTCAAAAATGTTCTACAACTTTATTAAGCACGTTTCCTCTAATAGCATAGAAATTGTGCTGAAAGCACTTGAAAATAAAAAATGAACAGTGCAGTGTAAATAAGAATACTGCTCAGAAATCAGAAAATTTTACAGAGACCATACTGTGATAATCAAAAAGGAAACTGAAACTCAAATATAAGCAACTTAAGATTCTCCATGTTGCTTTGAACATTTTTTTGGTAATAGAACGATTTCTCCTGAGGACCAGAAGTAGTGGTCTTCGTCTTCTCCTGCAGTATGAGAAGAAATTCCATTATTAATGCCAAATAAGCAGAGTATTAATTCAATTATTGAGCCATGAATCCAAAAATTACTTTCTGAATGCTAAGGAGGGTGGATCACCAGGTTTATGAATATGTTAAATAATGTATGGACATCTACGCAAAAACATTGGATACGTGGCCGCTTTCCATCTCTCTTTCATTGTCTAGGGTAAACTTGATTCTAAAGTTTGTAGAAAGACCCTTCAGATACTATGGCTCCTATTTTATGACTGTTGGCAAAATTAGGAAAGTAACTGGCATAAACAATTGGCTGAGTGTTTGAAGTTGCCATCCCTTTAGACATTAAAAAGTTTCTCTGCCTGGAGTTCAAATTTAAGAAAGCACTAGCACAACAGGAATGGGCTTATTACACCTGTTTTTAGGTGGAACATTTGGTTAAATAAACACCAACACAATAGCAAACAGATGCCAACTTATCAGATAAGAAGCCATGCTTCCTCTGCATCGAGGAAGATAGTACATCCGTTACCACATCTACCGTGAAAGCACTTTAATAACCATGGAATTTTTTTGACACGTTCAAGTATTGACGCCAGTTCCTGTTTTTAGAGTGCTGAAAATGCACCATATTGGTTGGCCCAGAAGCTGGAAGAGGACATGTACGAGTAGGCTAAGACTGTACACAAGAGTGAATTTTTGGCTAGCCACTCCTAGAAAATGAACTAGTAATGATGTACATATGCCAGCTGGCATTTACTCAGATTTCATGTTTTACTATACTGGAATAATTAGAAAACTTAGAGGCATACAACTTTAGAGATAGAAGCCCTTGCCAGAGAATTTAGCACACTCTATTTCTCATATTTACACTGATTTTTTTTTGGTTTTGTTTTTGCATGATCTTGAAAGACACCCCTGATCCAGAAAATTCTCTCCTTGAGTGAAGAGGAAAATGAGAATTTGGAAAGATAAATACTAGACCAGAATTAATTTTTTTACCTGAATCTCAAATGAAAGAGTGCTTACGTGCCCACAAATACTTAAAACTTAACTTCCTTAAAAAATACCATCGAAAGCAACAATAAACAATTTAATAATTACCATTCTGACACATCTTAGGTCTTAGAAGACTTAATTACTGGGCATAATTTCCCTGGTCAATCAAAACCAATATCTTGGTACATGAGCACAATCAGAAAGAAACCAATGGAAAAAGCTACCCACAAAGTATCCTCAGCACACAGCCATACAATTTCACTCAGCAGCTCTGGAATTCTCCACAAGCCCCCATGTCCCCAGACCCCCTGTAAAGAAAGAAAGGCAGAGTAGAAATGGGAGAGTTCTCAAAGTTAGGCAGAAATTGTCTTGGGTCTATCACTTAAATATATGACTTTATACAAGTTTCTTAATCTCTTTGAGTCTATATCCTTAGCCATATGAAATTAATAATGCCTACCTTGCTGAGTTATTGTGAAGATTAAATGAGATGACCCCTATCAGTACATGGCAAATCTTATCATCATTATTATTAGTGTTACTGGTATCCTTACCACATGCTACTTAATTTCCTTACAGTATCTTATCTGAATAGGAAATGTTGGGTGGGCAATATAATATATAATCATTGCTATCTCTCCCCATACCACTGGAAATTTCTATTATTTGGGGACAAATGGGACAAAACAATGGCTATGAGTTTATAATGAACCAAGAAAGCATTCAAAGCTTATCAACCAATCACAATAACTAGAAAATATGGAGAACATTCACATTATAGTATCAAGTAGGGATTCTCAAATGAGGGAGATGGCAGTGTGAGCTGTCATAGTAATCAATGACACTAAAAATAGTATTTACTGTGTGGTAGGCATTGTTCCAAGGGCTTTATCCAAATTAACTCATTGGGGGCTTCCCTGGTGCCACAGTGGTTAAGCATCCGCCTGCCAATGCAGGGGACACGGATTCAATCCCTGGTCCAGGAAGATCCCACATGCCACGGAGCAACTAAGCCCGTGTGCCACAGCTACTGAGCCTGTGCTCTAGAGCCTGCGAGCCACAGCTACTGAAGTCCGCATGCATTAGAGCCCACACGCCACAACTACTGAGCCCATGCGCCGCAACTACTGAAGCCTGGCGCCTAGAGTTCGTGCTCCACAACAAGAGAAGCCAACACATTGAGAAGCCCGAGCACCACAACGAAGAGTAGCCCCAGCTCACCACAACTAGAGAAATGTGCGCAGCAACAAAGACCCAACACAGCCAAAAATAGATAAAAATTTTTAAAAAAGCAAAAATCCCAAAATAAACAAAAAAAAAAAAACAAAAACAAATTAACTAATTGAATCCTCCTAGCAACCCTATGTAGTAGCAACAATGTATCCTGTTGTAACACATGAGGAAACAGGCAGAAATAACTCACTGAAGGTTCACAGCTAATAAGTGGTAGACTTTGGGGTTACAACTTTTGTCTCCCTCCAGAGTCTGCACTTTTGATATGACTTAATCAAAGGCATCATTAATGGGTCAATATTATCTCTTCTAGAAATTATTTAGGAACATAGAAAAAAGATGGTATATGTGTAAAAGTAATTTTATTTTTATTTTCAATGATGATAGTTCCTGAAATATTAATATTTTTTGTACGAGGAAAAGTTAAGGGACTTTGATCTGGTTCTCAGCCTCAGCAGATACCTCCTGCCCAGTCAGGCTGCCTCTGGACACGATGTGTAGACCCAAGGTTAACTGAGCGCTCACTGCACTCAATGAGAGAATGGACATCAAGCATTTAGCAGATTAATCCCTTGTCGGCAACATGGATGGACCTAGAGATTATCATACTAAGTGAAGTAAGCCAGACGCAGAAAGAAAAATATCATTGGATATCACTTACATGTGGAATGTAAGCAATGACACAAATAAACTTATTTACAAAACAGAAACAGACTCACAGATATAGAAAAGAAACTTATGGTTACCAAAGAGGAAAGTGGGGGGAGGAATAAATTAGGAGTTTGGGATTAATATATACACGCTACTATATATAAAATAAACAACAAGGACCTACTTATAGCACAGGGAACAATACTCAATATTTTGTAATAACCTCGGAAGGAAAAGAATATGAAAAAGAATATACATATATGTGTGTGTATATATATATATATATATATATATATATATATATATATGACTGAGTCACTTTGCTGTACACCTGAAACTAACACACCACTGCAAATAAACTGTATTTCATTTAAAAAAAAAGAATTTAGCAGAGTGTCTTGCATTACATAATAATGCATATTTTCTTTTAAAAACAGTTAATAATCAAGGAAACCAGGTCATAACAAAATAAATCTCTCCTACGCAATAGAGCATACGGTAAAGAGTAACTAATATGTACTAAGTGCTCCATATACCCTGTAATGAGTACTGCACATAATTCTAAATCTTTACTAGTCTATGAAGGAGAGATGTGTTATCACAATTTTAAGGATGGAGAAAATAAGTGGCAGATGTGGGTTTTAAAACCTGACCTATTGGAGCCCAAAGCTTAGATGTGTTTTTTTCTCTTTCATTTTCGCACCTATTTTTAATAGCTAAAATTTACTCAACACTCGCAATGAACCCTCGCAACTCTACGAAGTAGGTAGTGCCATAACACCTGTTCACTGCCTTCATGAGGTCACACCCTACCCCCAGCACTGACCCTCCTCTAAGAGTATCCCTGGTAGGATTCCAAAACCTTCTTGAGTGAACCTAAAGGGGTGGGGGAGGGTGTCCATGGCAAACACCCCACATTCAGGTCCACTGAGAACACTAAGATGCCCTTATATCAGAAGTTCTCTAAATGGATCAGGGGTGGGATGAGAAGTTCCCATTCTCTCCAGTTCCTTCTCACCAGCATCCCTTCAGCTATTGTGTGATGAGGGATATTATACCATGGCTTCTATTTGGCTTTCTACCAAGTAGAAAAAGCAAAGGGAAATTGGCATCTCTTGTGAGGACTATACCTCCATTCCAGAGCAATTCTGATCATTTTCATCCCATAACTGAATGCTTTTGCCACTCACAATCAATAGAAAAAGAATAGAGAGATATGTTAAATTAAATAAATATCATTATAACTAATTTTAATATTTAAAAGCAAGGCTGATATGCAAAAGGCTTATTTTCAGCTATAAAAATTGAAAACTCAGGTGTTCTGGACTTCATATGGTTAAGAATATGATATATAGGAAGCCACTGTAAAAACAAACAGAATAAAATGTGTAGTATTCTGAAAAAAAAGATGTAGGTAGAATATAACAATAAGCTAATAAACTAAGCATATAATATTTCCAATTCCATGCATTGAAACCATTTGCCTTTTGTTCCTCTTCATTAAAAGGCAAATTATTCTAAGGTTTTCATATTCATTCATCCATGACTTTTGTTTTATTTTAAGCTCCCAATGCATTTCATTTCAACACATAGATATGATTTTTAATTCAATTACACAGCATTAAGCTAGGAACCCAAGAACATCACCCAAAGTGAAATTATATTCAGATTCACACTTGGTCTTCACCTGCCAGTTCTCAATAAAGGAAATCTGGTGGAGCCCCAAAGGAAGTGATGGACTGCCCATATCCTCTCAAGCTTATTACTTTGTATTGGCTGATAAAAATGAAACCTTATGTGATTCTTTACTTAGCACAGCCAGATATATTACTGTTTAATATTTTGTTAGAGATGATATCTAAAGGTTATTCCCACGATCAAAATGTAAGGTGGACAAAAATACCCAAGAAATGATTATAATTACCGAATACAGTCCTAGCTGGAACTGATTCCTTATTTATCCAGAATGAAACTTGAGAAAGAATTACTGTCATAATACATGGAATGTACGTCTGAATCATAAAATAACCCATCTTCCGTCTGAGGTGAAAGTAAACTGTCATAACGATATATTCACCTGCGAATGAAACATGAGGAAAATACGTTATAGGTTCTGCGGGCAATTATTCAATGGCTTTATAATCATATTTCAGACTAACAAACAGTATTCTAGGCAAAGAAAGTATCGGATTGCGTAACAACACAAGCACTGAGAAATATGTAGCTCCCAACTAGGGGGGGAATGATACTGCCCGTCATTACACAGAAAAACATTTCTGTTGCACGTAGTAATTAAGCAATTTAATAAGTTGGGCTATAACTTTATAAAAATTCTTTGCAGTGCTTTCTATTTTAAAGCAATTAGCCTTCATTTTCAGCATTTTCGAGAGCAGAATTTAGACCTAACTTTTACGGAAAATCACTAGAAAAAAATGAAAATATGCACACACATGAAAATATAAAGCTTAATTTTAGAAAGAATTGGAATACAAAGGTATACATTATATATACATATATGCTTAGGGAAAGGTTACCTTACTGTCTTAGTTTTAGGAAAGAGCTTTATTTCTAAATGTGGCATATGTGAAGAAAAATACAAAGAAACACATATAACATAGAGCCATATGTAACATCCCTGAGTTCATGCATGTTTTATTGGCATTTAGACAAAAACCTAAAAAAGCTAATAAGTAAATATACCATAAGATTTCTGGTAGCTCTTGATAATATTTTTAATGTTACATCTTAAAGTAACATATTGAGAAAGTTAGTTAGGAAGCAGTAGCTTTATTCTCAGACTGTGAAGCCCAAGATTCAGAAGCCTCAAATCCTCCCCAAATGTATTTTTACACACCATTGTAAAGCAATTATACCCCAATAAAGATGTTAAAAAAAAAAAAAAAAAAAAAAAGGCGCCAGCACACCCAAAAAAAAAAAAAAAAAAAAAATCAGTGGTCAGATTTCCCGCCTCAGAATTCTGTTGAAAACAGTTTTGATATATTTGATTATTGGCTTTTGTTTCTGAATAAGAAAACCAGCTCACTTCTCACATGTCACCAACTCAGAATTTATTTTAAACTAAAACAAGATTTAAATATAAATAAATAAAGTCTGAACTGTGATTTATGCATCAACTCTATTTCTGGAAACTTTTAGTTGTCCCCTGAAAACACGAGATATTTCAATGAAGAAGCTAGGACAGGGCTTCCCTGGTGGCGCAGTGGTTGAGAGTCCGCCTGCCGATGCAGGGGACACGGGTTCGTGCCCCGGTCTGGGAAGATCCCATGTGCCGCGGGGCGGCGGGGCCCGTGGGCCATGGCCGCTGAGCCTGCGCGTCCGGAGCCTGTGCTCCGCAACGGGAGAGGCCACAACAGTGAGAGGCCCATGTACTGCAAAAAAAAAAAAAAAAAAAAAAAAAAGAAGCTAGGACAAAACTCCATTGCCAATGCCAGGTAGCATATTGACTCAAATTGTTAAACATCTCACCTGTGATGGATTTGATAGTTTCACTTGATACTGTTTGCCCAATCAAGTCATACTGAACTAAGCTTGAAGACTCCTTTGGAACTTCTACTGATTTCTCAGGACCTTTTGTCCACGTATAAATCATCTCACTCTTCGGATAGGCATCTGGATGAGAGCACAGAATGTGGTTAGATTCAAAGCTCCTCTTCCATCAGCATTGATGGTCAACGATTAAGAATATTACATATGTTCAGGAAAGATGTAATAAATGAAAAAAAGAATCATTATGATTTATTCAAACACGTTTAAGATTGAGAAGACTGTAGAGATTAAATAAACAGCCTTGCAACTGGGCATATTTCTTATTTTTATGCCAAAGGTTTGGAGGGGAGACTACAACTAAGGCAACTAAAATGCTATGTATGCATCAGTGCACTTGGTATGTTTCCATACTAATAGGATAAACAGTTGAAAAGCAGAAATAATAAACCCCCCAAAAGTACTGTCCAACTGCTACTCCCTTCCTTTCTAACTCACTGCCAGTATTTGACCAATATCGACTTCTTCCATCCTAATGCACCTCTGCCAATTAGAAATGTACCAGATGCTGCGTATAATAATACAACAACAAAAACAAAAAGAGCAAATCCTACTGTTGGGAGAGCTCTCCAGGAGTCACCTATTCCAGACTCTGCCTCTGGACAATACCCATGCTTTTTGGGAACCACTCTGCAGTAACAACTGGCTATGCTGTTTATAAAGCTCTCCAGGGAATGTACTTACACAACCAGTTCCACTACCTTTAAACTCTCACAATCAGAACATTTCCCCTTCTATCTTCAACAAATCCCTCCCAGCGGTAATTCAAGCCCATTTTCTATTATTTGGTGTTCAGTACAAATGGAGACCAGCTGCTTGCTTACCAGTCTACCCAGAACAGATAGCTTGGCTCACACACAAATGAGTTCAGAAGAACAAAGATGAATTGTATGCTACCCTCTGCAAACCTTCCTAAAAGGCCTAGAGCACAGTAGGTCCTCAGTGAAAGTGTTTAATTCTACAAAAGGAATTGATACCTAGGGAGACTATCTTTATAAGCGACTTTGCAAAACAAACTATAAGGCTTGTGTTGTCATTTAACACTATACAATTGTGTGTCAAGGTTTATCTTCTGAAGTATATTTATGCTTAATCATACAGTTAAAGTCCCAGAATGCTAGGATCCTGCATGATATTTTAAATCAGGTATCCTACACTTGATTATCTTATAACCATTTTTCCCCGTTTTTTCTCATGCCTATGAATTGTAAACATAGATAAATGTTATTTTTCTCCTTCCAAAGTAATTAAGTATCTTTATTTCATAAGTATGATGGGCCTCTCTTTTCAGTTCTCAACCCCAAATCATCAGCTTCCAAGGAATAATTTCTTTATTTTATACAAACCCTGGGGGGGCGGGTGGGAAAGGACTTTCCCTAGATTAGAGCTATCTTGGGTGAAGTTTAAATTATAGCACAAATAGTTTTAAATTCTGGCCCCAGTAAGATCGACCTTTCTGTCCACGTATTTTTTCTGTTTTAATCTTCTCTCATTAAATCACTGGTCAGGGAGCAAAGGACCCTCTCTAGATTCACGTTAGGCCAACGGAATATTGTGATTACTGGGGGTTATAAAAAGAGTGGTGACTGCCGAGTCTCATTAAGTTAAGCAATGAGCAATGATAACAGCAGGCAACAGTTTCACAATCAGTGAGACTAAGAATGTGAAGCAATAGTAAAAGTCAGCATCTATTTTTGGTAGATTCTGATTGAGTCAAATATTTGAGGCAGACGTTAGAAGAGATGATCACATTTTGCTGCCATCTCTGAGAAGGCAGCTTGGGGGAAAGGAATTCCATATTCTGTCCTACCCATTCATTTTATCTTCTTGCCTTCACATCCACAAAATATCCCAAATCCATCTGTCTCACATCTCCTCTGGTACCATCCTAGTCTAAGCCACCACCATCTTTGTATCAATATTAACACATACAGCCTCCAACTCTTCTCTGCTTCTCTCTAGCATCTCTACAATCCTTTCTAGGTAGAAAAGCTGAAATGAAATTGTGAAATGTCAATCAAAGAGTACCACAACCCTTAGTAATCCTTCCAAAGGTGTTCTAAAGCACTTAGAATAATATCCACACTCCTTGATGTGGTCTGTAAGGCACTATACTGTCTTGCTCTGTCTACATGTCAGACCACACCTCCAACTCTGTTTTGGTCATGCTTCGGCTGCTTTTATACTAACAGTGCTGCTTATGCTATTCTAACCTATGTCATGTCAGGAAGCCACGAACCTTCTTCTGCTTTTTTCATGTCTGCCATAAAGGATTCTGCTTGTAACAGAAACTATTAAATTACAAAACCAAAAAGATCATTTATACTTTCTATGTTACACCACCATCACATGGAGTTCAGAGCCCCCTAAATTTCACCACGGATCACCAACCTATTAATTATGAGTCAATTTACCTAGGCTATCTAGGTAGGCTAGGTAAGCAGAAATACGTTTTTGCTTTTGGGGGGAAAAGGGGTTGTTTTTACTTCTTTATTTAAATATATTAGATAGTAAACAGTCTCCTGTAAGTCAAACCTTGGACAGTTGTCAGGGACAGTGATTTAAATGTTGGACTATGGAAAATCATGCACATATAAAAATATCAGCTTGCGTGAGATAATCATAAATTCTAACAACATTTTTATTGTAACTTACAACTCCCAAATTTCAAAGGGCATGCATGACCATCCATGGGGAAATCCACCAATCTCATGGGACACTCTGCACTTATGGTGAGTCTATGATGGAAAAAGGCAATTAAACAAAATCAACACTTTCTTTAAAAGTAATTTAAAGATCCCTCAATGAGGAAGCAGGAAGGAAGGAAAAAAAGAAAGACAGGAAGGAAGGAAGGAAGGGAAGAAAGGAAAAAAGAGAGTTAAAAAGATAAAAAGAAAAAAAGAAAAATGACTACCTCATTGTGTATAAAATAGTGCCATTTCTCATAATTCTAAAAAGCTTATTTGGAGCTGTCATATTATGTGAGACAGATTTCTTTCCATTCCTGAAGAAAGTATCAGGAGTCCATACTTTTGTTACCATCATATTGTTCAATCTCAGAATTTCAATGGGGCCATCATATTTTAGTCTTTTGTCAATCCATGTCTGTCTGAAGAACACATCCATTGTGTATTCCTAGGGAAATTAGTTTGTGACATATTCAATCACAGATGACTACACATAAATATGCAGAAAAATGTATTAAATTCTAGCCTCTTTCCCACTCCAAAAGGACTACCCCAAATAAAAACAAATAGAAGCAAAAATTTTTTTTTAAATCAATGGAGCAAAAAGGAGTGTCAGCAATTAAAGCATGTTATGTCCATCTTTATACCTTAATCTTCTACGTTTGTTAGATAAATAATCATACATATTAGTCATTCAAGAATAATTGCTATAATTTAATAAAACCACCAGCACCAAGTAATTACGGTTGTACTTTGTTTTAAATCAAGTGGCAAAATTAATGTGTAACAAATATCACTGCATAATTAATCATAAAATTGTAGGGATCTCTTTAAGGCAAAGTAAAATATGTAAGAGAAATTTTATGACCACAGAATTTATTAACATTTGCCTAGAGTCAAGGAGAAAAGTAAAGTAGTTTCTTTGACCTGGAAACTGAAAATCTTTAATATTAGAGAACAGAATTGAATGGACAAATTTATCTTGACCAGCGCTTGATATTCTAAGCTCTTTATGCCTGAGATGGAAGTGGGGGGGAGGGGTAGTGAGCAATTGGGCCAACAAGGAATTCTAAATGCAGTTAGGACTACAATATAGTTTCATACCAAAACTAATTACACTCTCTAATTTTCTCCTCTTCAATAATTTTCTAAGGGAAAAAAATACTACATACATGTTGTACTATGGGGACTAGTAATAGAACGTTCTTTTCTTTGTTGGGAATGATTCCAAACCAAAAAATACTCAAATGTTAGAGCTGAAATGCAAGTTCAGCGTCTTACTTTGTAAACTTTTTTTTTTTTGGTACGCAGGCCTCTCACTGTTGTGGCCTACTCACTGTTGTGGCCTCTCCCGTTGTGGAGCACAGGCTCCGGACGCGCAGGCTCAGCGGCCATGGCTCACGGGCCCAGCCGCTCTGCGGCATGTGGGATCTTCCCAGACCGGGGCACGAACCCGCGTCCCCTGCATCGGCAGGCAGACTCTCAACCACTGCGCCACCAGAGAAAGCCCCCTTTGTAAACTTTTTAGGCTGTTCTTTGACTTTCTAGCTCTGTGTGATGGATTACAAAATAAATGCTAATTGCCCTCTTTTCTGCATGTTTTTTTTCAAACCTCAAAAAGTACATTTAAGTTCCCAAATACCTACCATTTCAACATCAGAAACAGGTCCAAAGCTAGTGACATATATGTCAGTTTTCACTTCTGTAACAGGACCTAGTAAGTATGAAGTAAATAAGTGTGAAAAAATAATTACCAATCTTATAGGCAAGGTGGGTTTGATAATTAAAAAGTAAAGACAGGTTATATATTATGTTTTCATGAGCATCTTAAATTTTCAGTGAGACATTGCAGCTCTACAAAAATGAAGACAAAAGAACAACAAAACCAGAAAGCAATGTTTACTTACAGTAAAAAAGAAACCCCAGTTACTTACCAGGAACCTTATTTCTTCAAGATACATCACCCCTGGGCACTGCTACAACAGGCAGTGCAGGGAACAAAAGCTTTTAGCCTTTGTGATTTTTTTTAGTCCATCATCTGATTGGCCTTTAGTAAAGAAGTGAGCTGTTAAAAAGAGGGAACTTAACCACAGGAGTGAGGAGGAGAAAAACCATAATGGCTGCAAGGAATGCATCTTTGGCAAGTTAAGGATATTGGTAAAAACTTAAACACAAAAATGAGTCATGTCACCTTTAACAATAGGTAACCCGTCCACTGGTAATTAGGACCAAAGTCAAGCTCTCCTAAAAGTTAGACCTATTTATGCTCTACCACCTACTTGCTGTGTGATTTGGGGCAAGTTACTTAACTCCTCAACAGCAGCAACAATAACTATCAGGCAAGACTGTTGACGGAGGTCAAATGAAATTGCTCCTATGGGACCCTGAACACAGTTACTCTCTCGTGAAAGTACTTAGCAGGTATTAGTTTCTCTTTTCTTCCAATAATGGCCACTACTGAGATTCTTTCCTACGTCTAAATAAAGCTGGTTCAGAAACAAGCATATGGGTGTGTCTGGCAGAAGGGAAACGTGGGAGCATCATGACAATGGGCTGACACAGATTTTAGACAAAGGAAAGTTGCTGCAATCTGGGTTTAGCACGATGCTTAAAATCAGAAATTCTGGAGCTCAATTCTGGCTCTAACACTTTCTAATTGTATGATCTTGGTCAAGTCACATATCATCAGAGGTAAAGGTTTTAATGACTATTAACTGAAATAATACATGTAAATCATCTGTCCCAGTCTCCAGAACATAATGTGCTCAATAATGATAGCAATTGTTATTATACATATCAATTTTAATTACTAATAAAAATTTTAAATTGTTGCAATCTTGAACATCATTTCTTTTTTTTTTTTTTTTTTGCGGTATGTGGACCTCTCACTGTTGTGGCCTCTCCCGTTTCAGAGCACAGGCTCCGGACGCACAGGCTCGGCGGTCATGGCTCATCAGCCGCTCCGTGGCACGTGGGATCTTCCCGGACTGGGGCACGAACCCATGTCCCCTGCATCGGCAGGCGGACTCTCAACCACTGCACCACCAGGGAAGCCCTGATTTCTTAAATGATGGTTTATAACACTGTATGTCCAGGGGCTACCTATTCCATACTGGAAAGAATAACATCTGCTATCAAGATGGACTATTTCCCTTGAATAATGGTTGGGCAATCGGACTTAATGCCCAAAAGACAAAGAATAATTGGCATAGCTTAATGCCCTAGGTCTAAAGTTACCCTCATAAAACAAATGAGAATATCTCTCCCTCTATATGGTGAAGACTGAGCCACAGAAAGAAAACTAGTTTGAAGGGGAAAGAAAATTCTTTTTTTGAATAAGTATCCTAAGAAAAATATATCCTTTGGAAGTATAGTGAGAGAAAAAGTAGAGATCAGGCTGATCTGCCATGAGTTTTCATTTTTAAAAAATAACACCTTTGGAAAACAGAGAGAATAAGTATGAGAAGTTAATTGAATTTTTATTTGAATGAGAAATTGAAAACAACAACAACAAAAATATGATAGTAAAGCCAAAGTGTTTCAGGAATAGATAGGTAATCCAGGAAGCAAGTAATGTGTGTTGAACCCTAGTAGATGGAGATTTCATTCAAAAAGATTCGAAAGTGGGAAAAATCACGCTGTTTGTTTCTTAAGGACAACAACTGCTAAAGTGTTAAAAACACGACTTCAGTGCAAGTCAGGACAAGGAGAGATAAGTTACTCAGAGCAAATAAGGTTGAGTAGGTCCTGACAATAGGACTGTTTGATGAGAATCTTGAGAAATCCAGTTACTCTGAAAATCAATTTAGGATACTGGTTCTCAAACTTTAACTGGATCAGAATCACCTGGTAGGTTTGTTAAAGTACAGATTGCTGGACTCCACCCCAGACTTGCTGTTAGAGTAGGTCTAAGGTGGGGCCTGACAATTCGCATTTCTAACAAGCTCCTAGGTGATGCTGTTCACTTCAGTTCACAGAAAGCATTTATCTGTTTTCTAGAACAGTATTTATTTACCAAACCATGTCCTGTAAAATATTAATACCATAGGTGTTCTATTGAAGTGGGGGAAGGGTAGGAGAGGGAGGATTTAGGCCAATCATATTTTTCCTTATACATTTATTTTAAGGTGTGTGGGTTTATGCTAATTCTTAAGGTTATAATGATTCCATGATAATAATGAATCTTTTCAAATTCTTACATAACATACTACTTTTTCAATGATTCTTGAAAACTGCTTGGTATTTGTGACATTATTCAGTATTTGCTTTATAAGATCACAAAAGTCTTTGAGATTGAATGAGATCCTAAAAACGTATAATTGGTAGAGAAATTTCATTCGGATACCCATTCAGTCAACATTTATTGAGTGACCACCTGCTGTATGCCAGGTTCCATGCTAGGCCCTGGTGATACAATGGTAAACCAGACTCACTCGCAAGTTCCCTGCCTCAGGGAGTTAACATGCTACTGGGGGAGTGAAAGTATAAATAGTTAGGAAATGAATTAAATGGAAGAATGCTGTCATTCATAAGAGAAACAAAAGAGGCCAGTAACAGAGTGAGAGTCTGGGAAAGCCACTCTAGATTATTTAGCCAATCTTCAAAGCAGTGACTTTTAAACTGAGATCTGGATGATGATCACGAGCCTTTGGAAGAGCTGAGAGAATGCATTTCAGGTGAGGAGAACTTCAAGGCGAAAGGCTCAGACAGAGCACCTACTTCTCTGGCCATATTCTGAAAGTGGTATGTTTTAAGCAACATATTTATAATATATGTTATTGTCACTGTTTTAAACTTGTATAAGAGGTTGTTAAGGGCTGAATTATGTTCCTCCTAAACTCATATGTGGAAGTAGCACCTAGTACATCAGAATGAGATTATATTTTGAGATAGGGTCCTTACAAGGGGAATAAACTTAAAATGAGGTCGCTAGGATGGGCCCTAATGTAATAAGACTGGTGCACTTGTAAGAAGAGATTAGGACACAGAAACATACAGAAGAAAAACCATGTGAAGACACAGAGGGAAGATGGCCATCTACAAGCCAAGAAGAGAGAGCTTAGAAGAAACCAACCCTGCTGACATCTTGATCTTGGACTTCTAGCCTCCGGAATTGTGAAAAAATAAACTTGCTGTTATTTAAGCCAACCAGTCCGTGGTGCTTTGTTACGGCAGCTGAAGCAAATGAACACAGAGGTTAATCATCTGTCCTGTGTTCTTTCCCCAAGTGTTCTCCCTCTGATACGCAGTCCAGCTCTGCCTCTGTTTATAGGCTGTGGTAAGAAGTTTGATTTGTATCCCGTAATCATTGGGAGACCGTCAAAGGTTTGATGTAAGGAAAATATATGATCTAAATATATGATCTGAATCACTCTGGCAGTTGTATGGACAGCGAATTATAGGGAGGCAAGAGTAGAAGGCTTTTCTAAGAGGCTGCTGTACTAGGCCAGGTGAGAGATGACGATGTCCTGAACTAAGGATGTGGCAGTCGGGATGGAGAGTGGACAGATCAAGGGGCATGTATGTGTGGAACTGCTCTCAAGAAATGGGGTTCTTCCCAAAGAACAATAAGCAGAGATACTATTACTATTTATTTAAGGCCTACTATGTGCCAAGCAGGATACTAGGCTCTTCCTATATGCTATTTCATTCAATCCTCACAACACCCTCCAGGGATGATACTTCATGAGAATTTTATGGACATGGAAACTGAGCTCACAGAGGTTAAATATTATATTCCAGAGCCAGAATTATAACCCCCTGGATTGATCTACAAAGTATGTTCTAGAGTTACTATGTTGATTATATCATTAAATAATAAATCAACCATTAATTACTTATATATAATTTTCTATCTAGTACATACCATGCCATACCTACCTCTCCCATTTTGTTTCATGAGTAGTTTCTGAACTACGTTACTACTGCAGCTCTTCCTATGCATTGCTCTTATTCTTATAATAGCCTGCTTGAGTCTTTCTCTCCTTAACAGCAAAGATCAGTCTTAATCCTCTTGGAAATCCCAAATGAGCATAGTGCTTTACACATACTAGGTAGTGAAAACTATGTATTTGATTGTGTTCCTAATATCATTCCAGCAGTGATTTTAAAATCTCCCCAAAGGAAAAAGTACTGGAATTCATTTGTTACATCAGTTAAGCTAAAAATATTTCCTGATTAAAGTAGAATTTGTGTTTTATTTATATTTATATCCTCTCCCTGAACAAATTCCAGGCCTTACATGTAATAGGTTTCCAATAAATCAGTTTTCAATGAATCACGGTCGCTATGCAATTAAGAATAATTCTTAGAGACGCTTCCTCTAACACTGCTGTTTAGGATGTTCAAATCAACCCTCCTAAGAGCATAATTACATAGAAACCAGATAATTTTCAGCTTGGAAGGACTTCTCATAATTTTCTATGCGTTTGTGTAACATAAAAGACATCTTTTATTTTAAAATCTTACTACTTTGCTAATAGGGAAATAGTTTTTAATCCCCCAAATATAGTGGACAGTTCCTAAGGCAAAGTGATCTTCAACAGTCTTTGAAAGAAGGAGCCAACACCACCAGGATCAAATTCAGAGGAATACTCCCATCTTATTAATGAATCTAATAACTTTATTATTTGCTTGAAAAGTGGGAAGGCAATTAGCATTTCAGAAAATTTCCCACTGTTTACTTCAGATGTAGAGACCTGGACAAAAATATCA